TCGAACAGCTGAGTTTGAACGTGATTATGATGATGATTGCTGGAAAACGATACGTAGATGATGGCGAGGAAAGTGCGATCGGGGGGCGATCTTTTCGGGATGCTGTTAAGGAGTTTATGTACATGTCGGGACAGTTTATTGTGTCTGATTCGATTCCGTTTCCGCCCCTGAGATGGTTGGATTTTCAGGGGCAAATCAAGTCCATGAAGAGAGTTTCGGAAGAACTAAGCGCTATTTCCGGACGGTGGATCGAGGAACACGTCGGAGGGGAGAGAAAGGGTAGTGCTGATGAGCAAGACTTTATTGATGTGATGCTTTCGACAGTTGACGACAAGTTTACGAGATTCGGACATACGCGCGATACCATCATTAAGGCGACGATATTGGTATTGTTCTTACTTCTCTTACTACTCTGTTTTCTTCATTTTATTGTCTATGTATACATAAGGACAAAATGCACTTCGCCGTCATAAAAAATTCGAGTTTCACACTTTCCTCTCTACAAATTAAACAATGAGGCTCTGCCCCTTCAAAATTTTGTTCCGGTCGCACTTTGATCCAGATCACAATTTTTGGCTTATTATTCAATAGAATTGCGATTTATCCGTCCACTTCGAAAGCATTTGAGTCATTTCATATTATCATTAAAATCCTAATATCTTTATCTTTTCTAATAGACGAAAAAACACAACCTATTTCACCGATTTCAGGGAAAAAAATAAAAAAAGGAAGGGAGAGAAAAGGCTTTAATTTGTTTTTTCTTCCAAACAAATTGTGCTTATTGCGGTCCCATAATTGCGAGAATCTTCATTTTCTTCTTCGATTAGCAGCTATTACAGTGATTTGTCTCTGAAATGAGTCAAATGGCATTTAATTGGATGGATTGATGGCATTTCCGGTGAAAAATACACCTTAAATTGTAATTTTGGGCAAAAAGTGTAACTGAAACAAAATTTTGAAAGGAGAAAATCTCTTGTTCTAATTTGTAGGGGGAAAATGCAAAAATTGAAAATTTCTAGGGGGCAAAGTGCATTTTGTCCATAATGTAATAATATTTAGGGAAAATTGCATATCGCCCCAGTACAATTATATTTTCGTACTTTATCCCCTCAAATTTTTTAAAAGTGAATGTCCTCTTAAAATGTTATTTTTGTTGCACGTTGCCCCTTTAAATCTTATTTTTGTTGAACATTGCCCCTTTAAAATACTATCTTTTGCACGTTGCCCCTTTAAAAAGTTTTTTTTTACACAATGGCCTCAAAAATTGACTTTTGGGGCAAAGTGCAACCAAAATAATATTTTGAAGGGGGTTATCCATTTTTTTTAGTGGGGGGAGTGCGAAAATTTTAAATTTTATAGAGGGTAAAGTGCATTTTTGTCCTAAATCATATTCTTCTACACACTTGTATAATTGCACTAACACTTCCATCTTCCAGAACCTCATCTTAGCAGGCTCAGACACCACATCAATCCACCTAACATGGCTACTATCCCTATTGCTAAACAATAAGCAAGTCATGCACAAAGCCCAAGAAGAGATCGACGCGAAAGTCGGTAAAGAAAGATGGGTACAAGAATCGGACATCAAGAACTTAGTCTACCTTCAAGCCATCGTCAAAGAAACGCTCCGCCTATTCCCACCGGGGCCCTTATCGGTACCGCACGAAGCCATCGAGGACTGCCACATAAGCGGCTATCACGTCCCGAAAGGGACTCGGTTATTGGTCAACGTGTGGAAATTGCACCGGGACGCAAGAATTTGGACAGAACCGGATAAATTCTTGCCCGAGAGGTTTCTAACGGGCAGCCACGCG